ATAATAATAATAATAATAATAATAAATAATAATAAATAATAATAATAATAAATAATAATAATAATAATAATAATAATAATAATAATAATAATAATGGATGATCGATCGTTCGTCGAATTGATCAATAATAATTGACCGACGGACGGAATCTTCTTATATATGTATATCGGGGAAAATATATTCGTCGATCGAGGATAAGTGAAGATGATAAGTGTGGTGGTGATATAGTTAGAAATCAGATGATGATGATGATGATGATGATGATCATATACTTCTTTCAAAAACAAAAACAAAAAGAAATAACTACGGAAAATAAAAGTAAGCGGCGGGAGTAAGAACGGAAAAAGGAAAAGAAAAAAAAGATAACACGAGCGAGCAAATGAAGGAAGAAAGAAAAAAGAAAAAAGAAAAATAATGGGGAGAAGGGCAGGGGGGGGGGATTGAAACCACGAGGTGTCTTTGGTTTCGAAGAAGAACGTAAGGCAGTGGCGAGGCACCCAGGCTGTGATAAGTAGAGACAGTACAGAGACTATATAAGAAAACTACCTACAGTTATATTATTACTATATCTCTTACCTGACTACCCCTTGAAATCGATATGTAAATGTAATTGTATATGTATAAGGCATGATTGATAGGGCGCGAAATGATGTTCTTTTAGATGCGAGAAAACAAGGAGATAGTGAGAACTGCTCCTGATCACGATGATGATGATGATGATCATCATCATAATGGTGATTATGGTAATGTTGATAATTACAATGGATGTATGTTGATCAAAGAGAGAGAGAGAGAGTGAACGAGTACGTGTAAATGAGCGAGTGAATGATTTAGAGAGAAAGAAAAACAATACAAAACACGGTGTGTACTTTTACGCGTCTGTATTTCCGCGTGCGTGCGTGCGTGCATATGCGTGAACGTGTCTGATCTTTATGTGCAAATTTAAAAAAAAAAATACAAGAAAGAGAGAGACGAGGGAGAGAGGATAACAAAAAAAAAAAAAGGAAAAGAAAATGGATTGAAGGAACGGGGTGGGGGGTGATTGAATTTTGCCGTGCCGGAGACGAATAAATAAGAAGAAATAAAAATGAAGAAGAAGAAGAAGAAGGAGAATAAGAAAAGGGGTAGAAAAACTCATTGTGTGTGTGTGTGTGTACGACATTTCGGGCCGCTGTTGAGCAGCGTTGCCCCATGCCCGTGCATGTTTAATTGAAGCGTGAATATAAAAATACGATATACATAATAATACCATAGATTCTATATCACACATAATATAGCATAATATATTGCTAGCATCTATGCTGTTTGTACGAAGCAACAATAACAACCAACAAACAACCAACAGCAAATAATAAACCTGGGAAAGATAGTAGAGAGATAGAAAAAGAAAATGCGAGAGTAAGGGTAGGTGGTGGTGAATGGACGAATATGACTAGGGTATAATCGTGAGAGAGAAAGAGAGAGAGAGAGAGAGAGAGAAGAATGAATATTGAACGAAAGAGTGAGATAGGGTGGTGGGTATGAGGGTGAAGGAGAGGTATGGGATAAGAATGAGAACATCCGAAAAGATTTGATCGAGGAGAGTCGAGAAACCACAAACGAAATATTACGTTAACAAAGAAGGAAAGGAGGGAAAGAAGGGTTGAAATTGATATAGAGAGGAGAAGGGAGTGGAGGAGGAAGGAAGATGTGGAGGAAGTGGTAGGTCGACGAATAATTTAGTAGACAATGTAGGACGTAAGTACGTAAGCGAGGCTAGTTGGTAGTAGGTTGTAGTAAATCAGTCAAGCTAGGATAGGTGACCGAGTCAAGTGCAAAGCCTTGTGCCTTCAGCAGCGCGGACATCGGCTCACCGACAAACGAGAACATGAAATTTAACCGTCCGTTTTAATTTTTTAATAAAATCAACAAAAACGTCGTAAAATAATTGTAAATCCGAGAGTGGGAAGGGAGTTCATGTAACGTTATATTACTAGGCGATGAGAGAAAGAGTGAGAGAGAGAGAGAGAGAGAAAGTTCATAGATGGAAGAGAAAGAATGAAAGAGTAAGTAAGAGAGAGAGAGAGAGAGAGAAAGAGAGAGAGAGAGAGAGAGAGAGAGAGAATGTGAAAAATAAGTGACTTGTGATTAATAATTAACAATGAAAGAGATATAAGTTTGTGTAGATAGGAAAGGATGGAATCAGTGGGAGAAAAAAAAAAACGTATATAGAAATTATCATACATATTTCTCTAAATGGATTTTCTTCTTTTTCTTTTTTTTTTTTTTTCTTTTTTTATATATATATATACTTTTTTCTTCGTTTTGTTTTCTCTTAAAGCTATGAACAAATGTTGAAAATGAATTTAGAAAAATAAAAAAAAGATAAATAATAAGGGGCAAAGGTTTGGACCTCGATGACGCACGCAGGCTCCTCCAGACGTTTCTTTAAAAGCTACTATGCGAGTATAATGAGAAGGAAAGAGAGAGAGAGAAAGAGAGACGCTAGTATTGGTATTGCAAGGATGCTCGATCATTCAGCAGATAAATTAAAGATCAACGAAAAAATATATTACATATACTGGGAATAAGGAACTAAAGTAATGTGAAATACGCGAAACGAATGAAGATGGCCGTCAGTAAGGAGCCATTTTGTTTTCGAAGTAAGCACGTGACCGTCTTATAATGGCAGACGTTCGAAATCTCGTGATCAAAACCTATATAATTTGAAAAATTAACAATAATTGAAGAACGCAGTTCTCTCGAGTCCACGCACAAGTTGAATTTGTTTCAAGGAAGTCCGATTTTATGGAATAATTAATAAAATAAAATATAAATAAATAAATAAGGAAAAAAGCAAACGAAAGAAAAAAAAAGATTGAAATTTTAAACAGTAAAGAATAAAAGAGAAAAGAGAGCTGCAGACATACTCGAGAGAGAAAGAAAGCAAGAAATAAAAAAAAAAGAAAAAAAATAAGAAAGAAAGAAACAGATTTACACACGCGTTGTCATAAAAATACAAAGTACACTAAGAATTCTCGATGTTGTAACACTGTAAATCTATGCTATTATAACTGATTGTACGCAGTTGTATTCCGTAGTAAGTACCACGCAAGTTTTAACGAAAAGAAAGAGAAAAAAAAAACACAAAAAAATAATAATGATAATAATAATAATAATAATACGAAAACATTACGTTATAATTCCTGTTACGTGTAGTAACGAGCGAGAGACAACACACGCGCGCGCTTTGATGTGCGAAATTTATTTGAAAAAAAAATACAAAAATGAGCAAGAGCGATAGAGACTATGTGTGTGTGTGTATAAAAGAGAGAGAAAGAATGTTGATAAAATATGAATGAAAGTGACACGACTGAGAAAGAAAACGCATAAGAAAAATGGAATGCATAATGATATACTGCTGTGTATGTAAAAAAACACTTTTGTCAAAATTTATTTTTTTCAAAAGAAAAAAACAAATAAGAAAAGAAAGAACGAGCAAAAAAACACTAAGAGCATGCATAATAATAAATAATAAATAATAATAAATAATAATAATAATAAATAATAATAATAATAAATAATAATAAATAATAATAATAATATTATTNATAAATAATAATAAATAATAATAATAATATTATTAATAATAATAATAATAATAATAACGAAAATATTATAAATAATGATATTAAATAATAAATAAATAATGTATTGCAATATCGAACAGAAGATATATAAAAGATCAGGTTTCCATACATAGAACGGTGAAAGAAATTCGAATAGAACATTTTTTCGACGAGGACAAAATGTCTTCTGTAAAAGGGAAATGAAAAGAATGAAAAAAAAAAAGAAAAATAAAGAAATAAAAAACGAGTATGTAAGATATAAAATCACATTGAAACGCGCATTATCGTCGTAAAAATACAATACGCACGTGTCTATATATCGTATTTTACTATTTTCAAGATAATACCTGTCGACGTTAATCGATTTAAAAAATTAAAATTAAAATTAAAATTTGAAATAAAAAAAAAAAGAACAAAAAGGATATAAAAAAGAAAATGGATGATATACGCCTAAGAATGAGAATTACAAACACAAAACAAAAAAAAACAAATAAACAAACGTAAACAGAAAATTGAATAGAAAACAAATAGTTGCAACAAAGAAACAAAAAATAGGAACACACAAAGGAGCTGGAAAAACGAAAAGATGTGTGAAGCTGCATCCTTTTCGAAAGTAGAACGACAACAACAAACAATAATAATAATAATAATAATATTAATAATAATAATAATAATAATAATATAATAATAATAATGATAATTAAAAAAAAAAAAAACTATTCTTCGGGATTGGCATAATAATTAATAATGATCGATCCCTCTCCCACGATACACAAATAAATCCAAATCTTAGAAACTTTTTTCTTCTCGCAGAAGAAGAAAAAGAAGGAAAACTTCGCGCCATGTTCGATAAACAACACACATAACCTCTCTTTCGTGCGAGAACTGCGTGCACGGATGATTTACCTTTAAAATAAATTCAATGATGAAGATTTGTGAATAATAGAAAAATAGATAAAGCGTGAAACGCGCGAGTTCGGATCGAC